ATTATCCTTGGGGGGCCATTGATCCCCTTTCCAATTCCCTCTCCCTCAGCTCTGGACACACAGAGTGGCCAAGACCCCAAACTCCCCTTGCCCTTCCCATCTCTCATTTCCTCACCTGGCTGCTCCTCCTAACAAGCCACACTCTGCCACTGCACCCAAACTTGGCATTTTTTGTTTTCCCCTTGATTTGTTCCTGCCCCCTTTCAATTCCAACCCAGCAATCTGAAGATTAAACAGAGATAAAAGAAGATCACAGTGAGTGCCAGATGCTGGAGCAGCCTCCTGGGAGCAGCAGCACAACACCAGGTGTTGGTGTCAGCCTAATGAAGTGACACTGGCACACCAGGGACACCCAGGGAGGGGCTCCAAACCTGCCATTATCGAGGCAAAAACGAGGAATATTGGAAATTCCAGCTTCGAGGAGGCAGGGAAAAAATAATCCATGTCTTCATCTAAATGTATTATCCATATGAAATAATTTGGGGGTTAAACAGATTGAGTTTGGTCTTTGCCACCACAATGAACTTCAGGAAAATTTACTGAAGATAAATGAGGGGCTCAGGCAGTAACTGATGAACTTCAGGGCATCCCAATCCAGGGCTGAGTAAAGCACTTTAACTTATTACAGACTGACCTCACCCCAGCAAATCTTCTCCTGGCACGTCCAACCTGTGGTTTAATATCCATTACACCCAGGGAAAGGCTTTTAACTCTCTCTGAAGGAAGTGGGAAGGGAAATCAGTGGGTTGGGGTGTCCTGGGCAGGGCTGGGGTTGGACACACCATCCCTGTGGGTCGCTTCCAGCTCAGGATATTCTGTGGTGGCCATGGATGAGATTTTTCATGTGAGAACTCCTGGCCAGCAGGTTAAAAAGGAATCTTAAAAAAAATGAGAACTTTTAATTTGGGTTTATAGAATTTATAATTTAGGGATTTTCTAAAAGTCAAGTCCTCCAGGTTTTTTGTACATTCTAACTTTGCTTCCATGACCCCTCCATCACTCAAAATCACGGAATCACAGAACCATGGAATGGTTTGGCTTGGAGGGACTTGAAGACTTGAAGAATTTCACTTTTGCTGAAGGAAAGACACCCCAGCAGCACAGAGGGCTCAGTAAGAGGCAGGGATGACCCTCAGGGACGGGGTTTATTCCCTGTGGAAGGGCCAGCTGTCTCCCAGCCACATCCCCGCTCTCGTTTGCATCCCGCCCTCCCTCCCCTGCCCACGTGGGCCTCATTTCCAAGCCTATTCAAAATGATATTTTCCAAGCATGTGCCACACGACTTGTTCATATAAATGGAACAAATTAAACTGTCTCCACAGATATCCCCTCACATTTGTAGCCCTGATTCCTCTCCCTCACACGTGGCCAAGACACCGAATTATCTCCCTGCAGAGGTTGACCTCAGGATATTGGATTCTGCCACGGAGCTCTCCGGGACTGAACCGACGGGAAACACTTAATCACCCCTGCCTGTGCAGGGAAAAAAATCAACTTCAAATTTGCCCTGATGAAAAATCAATAAAGCAGTAATTGCTTGGCTTATCACGGCGTGGAGGGACAAATTGGGAAGCGGAGCCGGGCGCGGATCCCAGGGAAAGGCGCGGACTTTCGGGATCACTAAGCCAGAAAAGGGAAAGGTCTCGGAGCCATAATTAAATCTACTCCTGCTGATTCGCTGCCAAAATTATTTCCCTGGAGTTTATCAAAATGTTGCAGAGCTTATCGGGGCTGGGGGGAGGAAAGAAGGAATCAGTTCAGCACTGGGACAGCACGCGCCAGGCACAGGAACACAAAGCCCGGGATAAAGGACTGGGAAATGGAAACTCTGGGATAAAGCAACCAGGAAATGCAAATCCTGGGATAAAGGGACCAGGAAATGCAAATCCTGGGATAAAGGGACCAGGAAATGCAAATCCTGGGATAAAGGGACCAGGAAATGCAAATCCTGGGATAAAGGGACCAGGACATGCAAATCCTGGGATAAAGGCACCAGGAAAGGTAAATCACAGGATAAAGGCACCAGGAAATGCAAATCCTGGGATAAAGGCACCAGGAAATGCAAACTCTGGGATAAAGGGAGCAGGAAATGCAAATCCCGAGTTAAAGGCACTGGGAAATGCAAATTCCAGGATAAAGGCATCAGGATTAAGGCACTGGGAAATGTGAATTCTGGGATAAAGGCACCATGAAATGCAAATCACCGGATAAAGGCACCAGAAAAAACCAAATTCCAGGATAAAGGGACCAGGAAATACAAATTCTGGGATAAAGACACCGGGAAATGCAAATCCAAATTCTGGGATAAAGGCACCAGGATAATGCCCACCCCATCCAGCACCCCCCTCCCAGCCATCCACCTAAGGAATGACTGACTGCCAAAAATGCTTATTTTCTATTCTGCTGTGCTCCAGAACAACTTCTTTTCCTGGTTTTCTGATGCATCCTCAGCTCCTCCTCCCCACACGTGGCCCTGCCGTGCTGTTTTTTAAACTCAATATTTAAAAATATTATTATTTGTGGTGGATTAAGAGAAACAAGCCCAAAACCTCTCCCTAACATCATCCGATGTGTTCCAATTTTTGCTTTGCATTTTGTTTTCAATTTTCCTCTTGTCCACTTCATCTATTTGGAATTTGTCTGGGGTAAAACCCAGCTGGGTGGCAAAATCCCCCTTGGATTTTGTCACTTTTCAGGCAGCCCCAAAGCAAGTAAACAAAAACCAAAGTAGGAAAACCCAAGCACTGAAAATACTCCTGGAAAAGTGGTGGGTTTTGCTAATAGACCTAATTTCATGCAGCAAATTAGCATAGCTCCAATGGAAGTGCAAATGTAATCAAACTGAAAAATTCAAATGAGGCGGGGGGAGCCTTTTGCTTTTTCTCTTTGCTTTTTAGTCACTTAAAAAAAAAAAAAATCAGCATTTTGCTGTGTGTCCTTCACCAGGCTGGAGGGACTGTGGTAATTAAAACATTTAAACCAGCACAAGCCCCCAGTCTCTAATCTGGAGCTGGGGTCAGCTGTCTGTAGATTCTAATTTGTCCTGGATTTTTTATTCATGCTGGGGAAATGCTGCATATTGAACAGGAAACCAGCGGGAAGGGGCAGAGCGGGGCCTGGAGGTCAAATAATTTGATTTCCAAGCAGATTACATGGAACATCCAACGTCTAATCTCACACCTGATTTGGCAATAAAATGACAATAAAAGGAATGTTAAGACACCCTCGCTATGGGGTGGGCAATAACCAGATTTTATGAGTTGGGAGAGGATTGGTTTGTTTGTGGAATTATTTTTATTGCAGCTCCTGGGTAAAGGAGTCACAGGCTGTCTCCACAGGCTGGAATTTCCTTTTAGAGGGTTCTAGTTAGGGAAATATGGAATACGAGAGAAATAAAAATTCTTTTAAAATAGTGATTTAGAATTTAAAAAAATATTTAATATAATTTTGCTTTATCTTATTTAATTTCAATGACTGGATGTAGAACTCAGTGCTCTGGTGGGGATCAGTCACAGTTTGGAATCAATGGTCTGGAAAGTTTTTTCCAACCTCAGGGATCCCATGAGGGATCTAAGAGGGTTAAAAAGCCACCCAGAAATGTTGTGTGAGGAAGGAAGAACTAAGAAAAAAATGCAAAATGCTCTTTTTCCAAGGAAAAAATGCCACTGCAGCCTGGCACAGGGAGGGGAACACACTCAAAGCCCTGGGTAAATGTCCTGTTTGCAAATCCATATGGGACATAAACCTACCTAAAACTGGAGTTTTGAATCCATATGGGACATAAACTTAACAAAAACTGGGTTTCCCAGTGTGCAATTCCCATGGATGTCTTGGAATGCTTCAATGCTTCACACACAGTTTAACAGAACTTTGTATTTTCCAGTGAGAATGAATCCTTCATTCCTAACTGGGAGCTAACTCCACAGCAATTAGACGGATTTGAGTTACTCAGAGAAAATCTTCTCTTCATTTTCCAGCACTGGGACATCCTCACAACCCTTCAAAGCCACCCCAGGACAGTTTTCATGGCTTATGAATAAATGGTAGAGAAGTTTTCCTCCCCATTCCCCTGGAAATTCCACTGTTCCCAAGTCATGAACTGCCCCTGTTTTCTTCCCTCTGCCTTTCCACGCTCACCCTTCCCAATCCCTGCTGGCACAGCCATTGCCAGCACATCTGCCACTCACAATGGGATGGAAGCACAAAACAAACAAAAAAATCCTGCATTTTTCCAAACCTTCCCTACAAATCGGTGCTGGTGGGACCCAAGCAGCTCATCCCAAAATCCCTGTGCCCGTGGGAGCCTGGCTGGGTGACTCCTCCAGGTGGAAAGGCTCCCCTGGGGCCATTGGTTCCAAAATCCAGGAATCACAATGGGAAGGGGGCACAGCTCCTTGGTTTGGTCCCTTTTCCAGCCAGATCTGGATTTTCCCCTTCTGCCATGTCTGGGCCATCCCACTTTTCCACTTGAATTTCCTCTTTTGGTACCACAAGAACCTTCTCCAAGCAGGATTAACTGGGAGCACCAACGAATTCCTCTCAGCATCCCACAGTCCCCAGGTAAAACAAACTAAAGATTAGAACATTTTGATTTTGAGTGAAATTCTCAGCAGCTGCTGTTTCAAAAATGGGGAATTTTCCCGAGTTCCCTCTTGGAAGTAAATCATGGAATCCCAGAATGGTTTGGGTTGGAAGGTACCTTAAAGCCCACCCAGTTCCACAGAGCTCCAGTGAGGATTTGAGGCTCCTGGATTGTTTGGATTGGCTCCCTCATGATGTTGGAAATGTCTCTTCCCATCACTGCCTGACATTTCCATCCCTGTGGTTTCATTGTTCCACCTGCTGGACTGCAAAGCAGCAGCTCAGGGCACCAAATTCCATCATCAGCCTGGGGAGGAAAATCCCACAGCCCCACTGGGATTTAAAAATGGCCACTTAAAAATAATCATTTCTGACTTCCTGGGCTTTAGTTTGTTATGAAACAAAAGAACATTCCTCACCTTCTTCCTTTCTTCTCTTGGCTTCTTCTTCACTTCTCTCCTTGGCCTTCAACGCTTCGTCTGCTTTGGCTAAAGAGAAGAAAATGAGCTGGAATTAGTTAAATTTATCCTATCAAATCATGGAATCATGGCATGGTTTGGGTTGGAAGGACCTCAAAGCCCATCCAGCCCCACCCCAGCCATGGCAGGGACACCTCCCACTGTCCCAGGTGCTCCAAACCCCAGTGTCCAACCTGGCCTGGGACACTGCCAGGGATGGGCTGTCAACAACCTCTTGCCAAACAATATTTCCTGGGCTTTAAACCCAATTTCATGTTCCTTCCTGCAGGCCCCACAATGAAACCCACGTGCCTGACAGACCAGAGCTTGGTTCTTCATTAATTTTATTGGAAGTCATTGCCACAGTCAAGGAATGGCATAAATGGGATTGTGGAGGGTAATATCAGGTCAATATTAGAGGCAATATTAACTCAAGACAAATCCCCACATTCATTTTGGGCTAAGTAAAGCCGTTAAGAGACTTTTAAGAAGTTTTCTTTCTTTAAACCCCAATCTGCCCAGCCCAAACTGCACCAAACATGGTGCACCCATGAAGGGGCAGATTTGCTGCCATAGTGAGTAATCCAGCAGACCAATTTTGAGGATAAAACAGAAACCAAACAATATTTCCAGGGCTGCAGACTCTGTTCAGAGTGGGAGTCAGACAGCTCTTCCTCAGGACTTTATTAGGTAGTACACAATTTCCTCTTCACTCCAAATCACAGCAGCAGTACTTAATCCATGTTACAACAATCTTCTTTAAAAAGAATCTTTTTCCCTCTAGAAACCTCTTCCCTTATTACTTAATTATCTACCAGTTGCTCAACTGCAGGGGTTTTCAAACACTTTCCTACAGATGTTAAAGAAGATTAAAAATATACAGCACAGTAACAAGGGACTATCAATATACTCTGTAAATTAATTAAATTTCTGTTCTAGCACATCATTTATTCCAAAGCATTAATGTCTCAAAGGAGCCATTCTCTTTTATTGCCATCTCACTGCCTGATGAGTGAACTAAGTGAGAATAAGTCTCTAATAACATTATACTTGATGAAATATTAAGTTTTCAAAAGTATCACCAGGCCAGAAAGAGAAGAACCAACAAGGACCAGGAATCCAGCATTCACACACCAGGCCCTCTCAGGGAGGAAAATCACATTAAACTGTGCTCTGGATGGTAAGAGCTGAGTCAGATTTGCAAATATTTAATCCCAGCACCTCCTGAATTAAGCAAGAATTTATGAAAACCAAATTCAGCTCAGCAGGGAGGGGAAGGGCTCGTTCCTTTTTGGAGCCACCAGCTCCACCTTAGAATGCACAGCCTGGCCAGGGTGTCACAAAGTGATCCAATCACTGCACTGACAGCTGCCTCCATCTCCACAATTTTATACATATTTAGAAAACATTTAAAGCCGTGAAATATTAAAACTTTTTCTGCCACTGAAGATCATTACGAGAATCTATTAAATCCCATAATAAAACCAAACCACGAGTAACTCTAAAGAGTTTTACTTCATTTACACTTTATTCTCCTTGGTAAAAGGACAGGGATAATAGAAATTCCATTTAAATTCAATTTTGGTGATATGTGTAATTGTAGATATACCCCTTGAGTCATGTAAAATGCTCAGCTTATGTTTCTTTCAAATTATCCCGCTCCCATTCCCATTCTGCTCCTTACAACTGTCTTCAATATGTATTAGCAGAGCTCATTAGGCTGGAATTTAATAATGCAAACATCAGGTGGATTTCAAGACCCTCCATTATCAGCACAAGATGGATTGCTCATATAGCTCGTGGGCCAACTGGGCACAATTTAGATTCAATAAACTACCAGGCCTAAATTTGATTTATCTATTCCACTGAGCTACTTTGTTCTTCCTGCCCGATTTGTTGCTGCACAGGAACAATTCATTGGGTATCTCAGTGGCAAAAAGATATTAAAACACACAGGAAAGATGCTGCTGGTCAATGAATAAATTTTTAGCTTGTCTTTGTTAACTTTAAATCGCTGATTTCCAGCCCTTGTAAGTCAACTTAAAACTGCTGCCCAGGCAGAGCTTGGCCTTTCAAGTCCTGGTTAATTAGAGGGACAATGGGGCAATTTAGGAAGTATCACGAGGACAATTCTCCACACAAAATCGCTCATTAACAACAATTTAACTTAGCCCATAAATCTCCAGAGCAGTCCTCAGCTCACAGGGCTCTGTCCCCCACCAGCACCACAGGCACTGAAACTCTGAGTTACTGCCAGGATTTAACATCAAAAGGTCTCCTCAAACATTTCCCATTTCTGTCATTTTTGCACAGAATCCCAGAATGGGCCAGGCTGGGAGGAACCACAGTGGCTCATCCTGGAGAACATGGCACAGGATTGTGCCCACTCCTCTTCTTCTTCTTCCTCTCCTTCTCCTTTTCTTCTCCTCCTCCTCCTCTTCTTCCTCTCCCTTTCTTCTCCTTCCTCTTATTCTTCTTTTCCTCCTCCTCAATGCTGTTATTACTATTATTATTATTATTATTATTATTATTATTATTATTATTATTATTATTATTATTATTTAGTGAATATATTGTTGTTCACGGCCCAAGTGCCATCAAAAGCACTAAAAGAAATTCACTTTTCTCAAACCAAGCTGCAATTAAACAACACTAAAAGATCTTTACAACTTGAGGGTTGGATTTGATGGTCTGGGAGGGCTTTTCCAGCCTAAACAATTCCATGGAACCCCTGGAAGTGCCCAAGGTTGGGAAGCAGAGTCCCTCCTTGATGGATGGGTGATGCTTTAATCCCAACCAGCCTCCCACTGGGCCAAGGTGAAATTATTCCAAGCAAAGCTGCTAATTAAGAGAAACCAGGCAAACTGTGAATTATTCCAAGGTAGAAACAGGGCAGGGGATATTTTGGGGCTGGAAAGGGCATTTTGGAGGAGCCCCTGCAGCAGAGCCCTCTCCCAGTGCAAGGGAGCAGCAGGGAAGGTGCATGGGAAAGACACAACCCCTCACTAAGGAGATTTCATTTTCCTGTCACAATTAAAAAGAGAGGAATGTCAGAACACCCACAACTGCAAACCACCAGAGGTCTGGAAAAATAAATTAATTCAACATAATTGTGGACTTTCCAACTGCTCAGAGTTGAAAACACAAGATGTGTCTGAGGAAAAGAAAGCCAAGAAACTGTAAAAACACATGGACATCTCATTTAAAATGCAGCCAACCATCCACGGTGCTCATCAGAAAGACTTCACCTTTTTTTTTTTTTAACACAAACATTTTTGCACTTATAAAATATTCAGTCAGCTCACATATAAAAATACAAGTAGAATCCATTATTAATTTACAAGGCCCTGTTTAATTTACATGCTATTTTTCTCTGGTATATTAAATTTATCAAGGCTTGTGGAAATCCTCTCCACTGAATATTCATGGCTGACGTGTAAAATTATCTGTTATCCATCTGACAAATTCCAGCACAAACTCCAAACAACCACTTGCTCAGAGCATCCCTCTGACAGCAACACCAGGAGCAGCACCCAGGAATTCTGAGTTCCAGAGGAAAAGTGACACCACCACACACATTCTGATCACCCCAGATTTAAGCTGCTTTTCTGTATTTTTGCCTTTAGTAATGTTTCACCCAACATTTAACCACCACCAACATTCCTGGAGGTCTCAGAGGCCTCAATGAGAGTAGGATTCTATTAATCCATGACCCCACAACTCCACGGGGCTCTGTGATTCCATAAATCCACGTTTTGGGTGCTCACTTGCCCAGTCCATCGTGTCCATGGCCACAGAGCTCTCCCTGGTCACACCTGGAACACCCAATTCCCAAACATGGGAGTTCTGCTCTTGCTGCCCTGTCATTTAATTACACCAGACCCTAATTATGGATATTGGAGCCCTGAGTATGAGGGGGAGGGTGGAGCTCACTGCCCCTCTCCAGCTCTGCCAGTCACACTTAAAAACTCCCCAGAAGCCCAAATCTGGTTATTTTAAACTTCTCTGAGTTCCCAGGGGAACACACTCCCAGTGTCTGGAATCATCCCACTGATTCCTCCTGCTGTAGGAATGCTACTCCTCACCTCTTCAGCAGCAGTTCCCTGCCCTTTGTCATTTCAGAAAATATTCCTTATTTTGGGATAAATGTCCCGTTATGGCACAGTTAACAAGCAGCTGGCTCACAGCCACGAGGGTTTTCCCAAATATTAAATGGATTTTTGGTAGAAGATAAACCCAAAGTCATGTGCAACCCAACTGAAAAAACACAGGCAAAACCCAAACATTGTCTTATTCCAAAGGATAACTGAGATATTTGTGGTCATTTGGTGTAACGAAGATATGGGTTTATATTGGGTACAACCAAGATAATAACCAAGATAAACCCTTTCCCACCAAGCAGGCAATTTTCCCCCTGTTTCTTTCATTGTTGCCATTTCCAGGAAGCAGTTTGTGGCTCACCTGCTGGCTAGGAACAGCACAGGGCTGGGAGAGAGCCCAGCAGGAAAGAGAGAATATCCAAAACCCTGCTGAACAGTCCAGAGGGGTGGGATATGAAACCAGCTCTGTGCAGAGAGGGAGGCAGGCTCATCCCTGGCTGGAATATGCAGGGCAGGGATCTGGGAGGGCCACGGGGTGCTGGGCAGGGAGGGAAGAACTGAGAGCTCAAATCCCACTCTGGTGAGCAGGGCCCAGCTCCCCAAAGGCCTCCCCGGTGCCGGTGACTGCCTCCTGTATTAAGACTGCCTTTCTCATCACTTAATGCTTATTTTCATCACTTTGCTTAAAATATTGATAATCAATTAGGGCTACGTCTGTTTTGCCACAGAATCTGTGTCACAGTCTATCAGCCTGTCAGGGCCAATTCAATCCTCATTCAAAGTTAATTTTTTCTCCATAAATCCGCCTTTGGAGGAGTCATTAGGCGCAGAACATAGCCCGAGGTGCAATCACCTATTCTCTTTCATTAGAGGCAGGCAGGGAAGGTGAGGGAGATTATTAGAACTTTGGAATGATCACAAAGCAGCGTG